CATTTCCCCTAAGAACAGGAACAAGACAGGGATGCCCACTCTCACCAGTCCTGTTCAACATAGTACTGGAAGTATTAGCCATTGCAATTAGACAAGAAGAAGAAATAAAAGGCATCCAAATTGGAAATGAAGAAGTAAAACTGTCCTTATTCGCAGATGATATGATATTGTACGTAAAAAACCCTAAAGACATCATCAAAAAACTATTAGACTTAATAAATGAATTCGGCAATGTAGCAGGATAAAAAAAATTAATGCCAAGAAATCTATGGCATTTCTATACACCAATAATGAACTTACAGAAAGAGAGACTAAAAAAGTAGTCCCATTTACCATCACTCCAAAAAATTAAGATACCTAGGAATAAACTTATCTAAAGAGGTAAAAGACCTCTACTCAGAAAACTATAGGACGTTGAAAAAAGAGCTAGAGGAAGACATAAACAGATGGAAGAACATACCGTGTTCATGGATTGGTAGAATCAACATCATTAAAATGTCCATAGTACCCAAAGCAATCTATAGATTCAATGCACTCCCCAGTAAAATACCAATGGCATATTTCACAGATCTAGAATGAACGTTCCAAAAAATTCATCTGGAATAAAAAAAGACCCCGAATAGCTGCAGCGATCCTGAGAAAGAAGAACAAAGTAGGTGGGATCTCAATACCACATATCAAGCTGTATTACAAAGCTACTGTTCTCAAAACTGCCTGGTACTGGCACAAGAACAGACATATAGATCAATGGAATAGAATAGAGAACCCAGAAATTGACCCGAACCAATATGCTCAATTACTATTTGACAAAGGAGGCAAGAACATGCAATGGAGTCAAGACAGTCTCTTCAATAAATGGTGCTGGGAAAATTGAACAGATACATGCAAAAAAATGTAACTAGACCACCAACTTACACCATACACAAAAATAAACTCAAAATGGATAAAGGACTTAAATGTAAGACGAGAAACCATAAAAATACTAGAGGAATCCAAAGGCAACAAAGTCTCAGACATATGATGAAGCAATTTCTTCACCGATACATCTCATAAAACCATGGTTGGCAAACTGTGGCTCGCGAGCCACATTCGGCTCTTTAGCCCCTTGAGTGTGGCTCTTCCTAAGCCTTAGGAGTACCCTAATTAAGTTAATAACAATGTACCTACCTATATAGTTTAAGTTTAAGAAATTTGGCTCTCAAAAGAAATTTCAATCGTTGTACTGTTGATATTTGGCTCTGTTAACTAATGAGTTTGCCAACCACTGTCCTAGGACATTGGAAACTAAAGAGAAAATAAACAAATGGGACTACATCAAAATAAAAAGCTTCTGCACAGCACAAGAAACCATCAGCCCTAACCGGTTTGGCTCAGTGGATAGAGCATCGGCCTGCGGACTGAAGGGTCCCAGGTTCAATTCTGGCTAAGGGCATGTACCTTGGTTGCTGGCACATCCCCAGTAGAAGGTGTGCAGGAGGCAGCTGATTGATGTTTCTCTCTCATCGATGTTTCTAACTCTCTATCTCTCTCCCTTCCTCTCTGTAAAAAAATCAATAAAATATATTAAAAAAAAAAAAAAAGAAACCATCAACAAAACAACAAGAAAGCCCACTGCATGGGAGAACATATTTGCAAAGTTATCACCGATAAGGGTTTAATCTCCAACATTTATAGGGAACTCATACAACTTAACAAAAGGAAGGTAAACAATCCAATCAAAAAATGGGCAAAGGACCTAAATAGACACTTTTCAAACGAGGACATTCAGAAAGCCAAGAGACATATGAAAACATGCTCTAAGTCACTAATCATCCGAGAGATGCAAATCAAAACAAAAATAAGGTATCATCTCACACCTGTCAGAATGGCTATCATCAACAAATCAACAAACCACAAGTGCTAGAGAGGATGCGAAGAAAAGGGGACACTCCTGCATTGCTGGTGGGAATGCAGACTGGTGCAGCCACTATGGAAGACAGTATGGAGTTTCCTCAAAAAGTTAAAAATGGAACTCCCATTTGACCCAGTGATCCCACTTCTAGGAATATATCCCAAGAAACCAGAAACACCAATCAGAAAGGACATATGCATCCCTATGTTCATGTCAGCACAATTTACATAGCTAAGATTTGGAAACAGCCTAAGTGCCCATCAGAAGATGAATGGATTAGAAAACTTTGGTACATCTACAGTCCGGGGTCCTCAAACTGCGGCCCAACGAAAACATTTGTTTTTTTTACTTCAAAATAAGATATGTGCAGTGTGCATAGGAATTTGTTCATAGTTTTTTTTTTAAACTATAGTCCAGCCCTCCAACTGTCTGAGGGACAGTGAACTGGCCCACTGTTTAAAAAGTTTGAGGACCCCTGACTACACGATGGAATACTATGCTGCTGTAAAAAAGAAGGAACTTTTACCATTTGCAACAGCATGGATGGAACTGGAGAGCATTATGCTAAGTGAAATAGCCAGTCGATGAAAGAAAAATACCACATGATCACACTCATTTATGGATAATTAAGACCATTATAAACTGATGAACAAAAATAGATACAGAGGCAGAGCAGCATCGAACAGACTGTCAAACTACAGTGGAAAGGTTGGGAAGGGTTGGGGGGTGTGAGGGGGGTAAGAGATCAACTGAAGGACTTGTATGCATGCATATAAGCATAACCAATGGACACAAGACACTGGGGGGTAGGGGAGGCCGGGGGAATGTCAAGGGGGAAAAAAAAGGAGACATATGTAATACTCTTTGTAATACTTTAAGCAATAAAAAAAAATTTTTAAAAAAAGAATACTTGATGAGAAACTGGTTTATGTATTTGCTATACTATCCTCTTTATCTTTGTGTGCGTTCTACTTCGTGAAAGAAAACTTTGCTGTGAAGCGGTATGCTGTTTTATGCGGGCAGCAGCCTCAGAGGTCTTGTGTTGACTGTGCCTGTTGATTTAATCATTGCCTCCTGGCCTTGATTGAATCTATTTTTTGTAAATTTCCTGGCCTAAGTGTACAGTGTGATAAAGTCTACAGCCAGGTACAGTAATGTCCTAGGTCTTCATATTCACTCACCAGTCACTGACTCCTGCAGAGCAGCCTCCAATCCTGTAGCCCATTCAAGATCAGTGCCCCACACGGATGTACCATTTACCTTGCACGCAGCATTTTTACTGTACCTTCTGATAAATGCTTACTACCATTCCATTGCAATTGCCTACAGTATTCAGTACAGTAGCATGTTGTACAGGTTTGTTGTCTAGGACCCACAGGCTACACCATATGGCCTAGGTGTGTAGCAGGCTACACCATGCAGCTTAGTGTAAGAGAACTGAAAACAACAAAACTGCCTCAGGATGTCCTCCCCAGGTTCAGGGGTGCAGGACTGTAGGTAACTGCAGTTTCACCTCTCCCAGGAGTCAAGTTTTAACCCAGTCACTCTGCAACTTGCTGTTCAATTTCTTTTACTAAAAACCTCTAAAAGCCACTTCCTTTCTGCCTATTTAAACGCCTTCCATTTTGAACAGCTTCTGTGAGATTCCATTTACTAGATGGGATACTGCCCGATTCATGTGTGGGCCACAGTGGCCACATGCTAACCTCACAAGCTCAGGGAAGGCCTCAATGGCGGTCTTGCAAAGTCAGAGACCTAAGGTAACCAGAAAGGATGGTCTGAAATTAAACTTTAACTAAAAGCAGTTATGGTGGGTAGTTACATGCTAGGCCTGTATCTTCACTGATGACAAGGTAAACCTTTACCTTAACTGAACCCATCTGTCTTTTTGCATCTATAATAACACAAGAGGTCGAATGCAAGAAATTCGTGCAAGAGTAGGGCTTCCTTCCACGGCTGTGGGCACCAGCTTCCCTCTGGCACCTGGGAACCGGGTTCCCTTGCAGCCCTAGCTTCCTGCAGAATGTCCTCAGGAAAGATGTCTGGTCTAATTAGCATATTACACTTTTATTATTATAGAAACCCTTGAAATGTCTGGGTAACTTGTAACCTCCCTTTTTCCAGACCCCTTGGGGCACAACTTAAAGTGCCTAGGCAACAGGACAGATACCACAAATTCCTTCATCGTTATCATGTTAATTGTCCCATCACCCACCTAAGTATGTGTCTATCATTTTACACTTTATCCAGTCCCAGGGTTCTCCCCCCACCCCCTTGGCTTTCTCCCGCCTCTCTAATCAATCACCAATGGATTTCATGTAACCCAAGTAAGTCCCTTCCTTTGATTTCAAAGTATTAAAATATAAGAGAAACGGCCATTCCCTGGAGCATTATCCCAACCCGTTGAGATACTGCTTCCCTGATATTGTTGACAGTTTGGCTCAAATAAACTCACAAAAATTCTTTACAGGTTTGAATGGTTCTTTTCGTTAACACGTGAAAGGGGAATCAAGCCAGTCAGACCTTCCAGTTCACTCAGTTGAATTTTGTTTTAACAGTTTGAAAAGCACCACAAAACAAATAGCTGATAAGATGCTGTGTCTCAGAGAAGGGAAGATGGCGGTTAGGATTCGGGGGAGAGCCTGGAAGTGCAGGCACTTGCTGCAGAGCTAGGCCTGGGAGACAGGGGTGGACTTGAGAGCCTGCTCCACAAACATCAAAACTCAGGAGAAAACGGGATCCTTCTGGGGAGAAAGGAGGGACAGGGGACCCCACAGACCACAGCTCCTCCCGTGCACGAACCGCGGGGGCCGAGTCACCATGGTCCCCATGACCCTCCCCGTGGTCACCGCACCGACTGCGGAGCCGCGGGGATGAGGGTGCAGAGCTGCCCAGACGCGCTCCGCAGCCCAAGGCCCTGCCGCGGGGACACACTGGACGCCCGGGACCCGGCTGGGCCCCACCCTGCGAGCCCGAGGGGCCTGCAGTTTCAGCGGAGCCCCCGGCGCCTCGGGTCCGCAGGCTCCGGACCTGACCGTGGAGAGACGGTCCCGCCACGGTGGCTCCACCCGCGCCTCCTCCCCGTCCCCGCGCCCGGCCGCACACTCACCATTTCTGGTTCCTGGGCCTCCCGAGTCCCGCCTGCAGCTCCCACCACCTTACAGATCGCAGATGGACAGATGAGGACAGAACAAGGGAGATGCGACCCCAGTGCAGCTCAAGTAAAGTGAACAACAACAGGGTAGAAGCAGAGCATAGCCCCGCCGCCGCCCGCCCCCACCGCTAATCATAGGCGCACACTTTGCACGACATCGCCCCCTAGCGCTTGAGGTGCACAGGTCTGAGTCCAGTGCGGCCACAACTCCTGTCCAGGGAAGTTTGCCTTGAGAGGCAGAGCTAAGAGACCCCAAGGAACAGTGGTCCTTCCTCGCAAACACACACACTTAAAATGCACCTAATGAATCTGGCTCTATTTTCATCTTTGTTGACAACGGGAGTATAACCTGTGCATTTGCAAAAAGGTGCACGGGCTCATGTACCAGGGATGCTTTGGGGTGGTATCCTCCCAGACCACAGCCAGATTCCCAAAAAGAGCATTGAAACCAGTAACAAGCCATCATTTCCAGCGGGAAAAGTGACTTCTGTGCATTTAGAATGGTTAACTTTAGAAAACGTTTTTCACATGAAAAATGTGTTCCCACAGGTGATTCAGTCACGCTCCTCTGAGGTCATGAGCCACCCCTTACTTGTGGTTGTCTTGTGGGCAGTTCCTCAGACCTACCCAGAGCAAGGAGATGAGCCAGGCACAGAGGTCACCAGGGTGGGAAGCCCAGGTGTCCAGCAATGGGCAATCAATTGTAGGGTGGTGCCTGGTCCCCAGGATGACTTTTCCTCCTCTAGCTCCAGGCCCAGATAAGCAGCAAAATGCCAGGGCTGACATCAGCACCAGCTGCACTGAATAATGACCCCTGGCCTGGTGCCGGCCAATCCATCAGTGGAGGCCACATCCCTGAATGGACACACCTGGAAAGCTACAGAATATTCCGTTCAGCTCTTCCCCTGGGACCTCCCCTGAAATCTCCACCCTTAAAACCTTTAGGAAGGAGGACCCAGTGTGCTCTCCCTCCCTGGAGCACACCTGTACCTTTCCCCCCCCCCCTCTCCTCCTGCCCCAGGCAGGTTACCATTAGCTTGCACTCCCAAGCTCCAAGGGCACTTTCTTTACCTCCTTAAACTCATTTCGTAAGCCCATTTCCTCTAAGACTTACTTCTCCTTCCTCTGTAATTTACCCATTAAATGTTCTCTTACTCTTTAGGTCTTGCCCTGTATTCTTACCCAGTCAGAACCAAGAACCAAGGTTGCTGAACCCAGGTTGGGTCTGACCCTACATGTTAGACACAGGGTGCCATTGCTGCTGCCAGCAGAGTTACACTGTTTAATCCAGCAATAATGAGATTAATCAGAAAACTGGGTTCCATCAATGTAAGGATCATTCAAACCTACAGAGAATTTTTTTTGAGTTCATTGTCAGGAGATAAAATCTCAGTGAATTGAGATAATGTCCGGAGTAAGGCAGTTTGGTACCTTATTTTATACATTACAATCAAAAGAGAAGATCCAAGTGAGTTACATGAAATCCACAGGGGATATATTAGGAAGCTGGGAGGAAGCAAAACAGGGAAACCATGGGATAGGATGAAAAGCAAAATGATAGACATACATATATATTTTACATAGCTGGGCACAGGGTAGTTAATAGTTAATGATTAGCATAACAATAACAATGAGAGGATTTATAGTCACAGCCCTGCTGCACTGAGGGGTCTGAAATAGGGGGAGTCACCCTGACATTGCCAAGGTATTCTATCTTAGATGCAAAACACAATGGACAGGGTAGGTAAGGGAAAGATTGAGTTTTGTCAGGGAGATCCTAGCCTGGGACATGACTATCTGCCATAAACTGCTTCTAATTAAAGTGGTTTAATTTCAGACCATCCTTTATGGTTATTATAGTTCTCAAGATTAGCTGATGAAGAAAAGGCTATTGAAAAGAAACTCAGCACTAATATAACTGCATTTTCAAAGTACAATTTCCCATCCAAAGACCTACTAAGTAAGGTAGTAGAGTGCGCTGCGCTGACGGAAGTGGAATGGCTGTTTATCTATCTTCCACGACTCCCATTTCATGCTCCTTTTCCTCTAGCCTGAATGAGCTTTCTGGAATGCCCCACAAATAGACCCTTTTATCTTTTCAGAATCCAACTCATCTTTCAAGATCCCAGCCAAACAAAACTTGTTCTCTCTAAAACTTGTCCAGACAAGTCTTTTCTTTCTACTTGAAAACTCCTATGGAACATACTACTCTTAATATTTGGCTGCAATATTTCTCAAGCTGCCTTGCATTATTTTCCATGACTACAACATTGAAGGGGTTGGGCCTACAATTCAGTGTCTTCTCCCTGCCTCTCATTTGATGTTCAATAAGTACATAATGTCTATATCAAATACACTCTCCAATGGATCCAACAGGAAATATAGTAATTCCATACAAACAGCACCCATCATTCTCTAATTCACATCTGCAAGTGAAAGGGGAAGGAAAGATGCCTCCTGAATACAAATAATTTCTTCATTTTCACCATTAAAAACTACATTCCTGCCTGTTTTTCTCCAAAGTCGGTTTCCTGGGGATGATAGCCACAGGTCTGCCTGAGGGACGCTGGTGGCTGGCCTGCCTGTTGCAGCCGCTCCAAGTCCCACAGCCCTTCAGAGCCAAGGCAGGAGACCCGCAAGGAGGGGAATTCACCCCATGCACCCCAGCGGGATAGAGAGGAGCCCAGGACAGGCAAGGAGCCAGACGCAGGTCAGGTGAAGCGCTGAGTTCCAGAAGCAGATGCACACTGCAGGTGAGCTGCCCACCTGCATCCACTGCCCCACACATCCATCGCCAAGCAGCCCACTCTGGCAGGGACCCACATGGACATAAGCCTGAAGCTGAATGGTCGAGGACCCCACCCCACCCTGGTGCCTCCTCCTGTCTCCAGCCCCAGAAACTAGATGTGAGAGTGGCTTCCCCACTCAGTCTCTGCCCAGTGCATTTGGGGCCAGCCACACCCACCCCCTCGCTTTTGAGCATTCAAATCCTCCAGCAACCCTCCCCCGACCCTCTGCTGCCATTTCAGAGGCTTGAGACCAAAGCCCCAGCCAGCTGGACCTCTCCACCTGTCTCCAGGCCCCTCATTCATCCCATTGTATTTAGATACTAGAGGCCCAGTGCATGAAGTTCATCTAAGGCAGCGGTTCTCAACCTGTGGGTCGTGACCCCTTTGGCGGTCAAACAACCCTTTCACAGGGGTCGCCTAAGGCCATCCTGCTTTTCAGATATTTACATTATGATTCATAACAGTAGCAACATTACAGTTAGGAAGTAACAACGAAAATAATTTTATGGTTGGGTCACAACATGAGGAACTGTATTTAAAGGGCCAGAAGGTTGAGAACCACTGATCTAAGGGTGCCTGTGCTGTGCTGGACTCTGCCATCCATCACGGCCTTCCTTCATTGCTCACTGCCCCTGGTGGTCAGCGCACATCATAGCAAGTGATAGAACTCCTGGTCTCCAGGTTGAACTTTTGTGGGGACACTTTGCATATTAGCCTTTTATATATACTAGAGTCCTGGTCCACGAAATTCGTGCTTTGTGGAATGGGGATATCCCTCAGCCCAGCCTGCACCCTCTCTGACCTGGGACCACTCAGGGATCAGACCTAAACTGGCAGTCAGACATCCCTCTCACAATCCAGGACTGCTGGCTCCCAACTGCTCACCTGCCTGCCTGCCTGATCACCCCCTAACCCAGCCGTGGGCAAACTACGGCCCGCGGGCCGGATCCGGCCCATTTGAAATGAATAAAACTAAAAAAAAAAAGACCGTACCCTTTTATGTAATGATGTTTACTTTGAATTTATATTAGTTCACACAAACACTCCATCCATGCTTTTGTTCCAGCCCTCCAGTCCAGTTTAAGAACCCACTGTGGCCCTTGAGTCAAAAAGTTTTCCCACCCCTGCCCTAACCACTCCCCTTCCAGCCTGATGGATGCATAACTGCTCCCCTGCTAGCCCGATCATCCCCAATTGCCCTCCCCTGCCAGCCTGGTTGCCACCAACTGCCTTCCCCTGCTGGCCCGGTCGCCCCCAACTGCACTCCCCTGCAGGCCTGGTCCTCCCATTGTCCTCCCCTGCCATCTTGGTCCCCCCCAACCTCCCTACCCTGCCAGCCCAGTCACCCATAACTACCCTTTCCTGATGGCCTGGTCACCCCTAACTGCCTTCCCCTGCAGGCCTGGTGATCCCCAACTGCCCTTCCCTGCTGGCCATCTCTGGCTGTGGGCACTGCCATATTTGAGGGTGGGGCAGTCAATTAGCATATTCCCTCTTTATTGCCTGTGGTTGCAGCCAACTTTGAGGGCAGGGCAGTCAATTACCATATTCCCTCCTTTTTGGCTGTGAGCACTGCCATCTTTGCAACAGCATGAGGGTCAATTAGCATATTCCCTCTTTATTAGTTAGGATAGATTAGTCTCAATGATTCCTTTTCTAATTAATCACCAGAATTTCAAAATAATAGTTTTACATTGCTACCAAATAACGAATGTTTTAGGCTTATTTTACTTAACTGAAATATCTTCTTTATTGGGGGATATTACCCAACAACTGCTATAGGGTTAAGTCAAGCTATTATAAATGTCTATGTTAATCTATTTACAAGTTTTCATGAGTTTCCATTCTAGCACTCATCGTTGATGTATATTGCACTAATGTCTAATTGGATTCAGGAATTATGGCAAACAGTAGCTCTTCACCTCATAATACATGTATTCTTCTTCACCCCTTGCAGAGAAGTAGGGCCTTGCAATTACTTTTAGAAAATGGAATATGAGAAAAGCCTGTGTCTCTTCGTGGTATTGGCTTTCAATGCTCAGGGTGGCCCTTCAGTGCTCCCTCTTTCTCTAGTTGTAGTGACCGGTGCTGTGACAACACATGACTGAGGGAGTTAGATCCCTGGGTGGGTAATGAAGCAGCATCCTGCTGGCCTCCATTACACTTTACAAGAGTCAGCAACTGAGATCACCACCGCATAGTGTGACTACTCTGATCAGTACAGTGGTCCCTTGTATCTCAATGAAAGCTCTGCTGAGCATCTTCTCAAGATCTGGAGATAGACAAAGAGTACGGAGATATGCAAAGTAA